GTGTTTACTCCTTGGTTTTCAAGAAATTGAAAAAACAAAGCTAAACAAATGACACTTTCTTCCCTAATAATCAGTTCCAGCACAAAGAGCTTCTGAACCCAATAAATATTTTTTATTGGTAAAACACAAGCATGACTCAGGATCTACAGAAAATCCTGATGTACATTGTCTGGTAGCTGCAGCACCTCAGCTGGTGTGATCACTCGTGTCCCTGAAAGCAGTGAATCCTACAATCAGTGTGAGCTTTGATATCTGGCACAGGGTGCCCAGAGAAGCTGTGGCTGCCCCATCCCTGGCAGTGTTCAAGGCCAGGTTGGACACAGGGGCTTGGAGCAAGCTGCTCTAGTGGAAGGGGTCCCTGCCTGTGGCAGGGGTTGGAGCTGGATGAGCTTTAAGGTCCCTTCCAACACAAACCACTCTGTGATTCTGTGTCTCTCTATGATCTACAAGGTAGATGTGCAATTCAATTGCTCACTGACTGATGTCCAGCCAGTTCCCGAGCAGCAGTCCCTCACCAGCAGCCCCTGGGCAGCTTTCTCCCCAGTTTATATACTGAGTATGATATCATATTGTATGGAATATGGTAGGGAATACCCATTGGGTCAGTTTAGGGCTGTGCCCCCTCCCAGCTTCTTGTGCCCTCCAGCCTACTCACTGGTGGGGGCACCTTAAGAAACAGAAAAGTCCTTGACTTCATATAAGCACCGCTCAGCAACAACTACAATATCAATGGGTTATCAACATTATTCTCATCCTAAATCCAAAATACAGCACTATACCAGATACTAGGAAGGAAATTAATTCTACCCAGCCAAAACCAGGACAGCTGCTAGGCAAGGGCTTCTTAGGACGCCATGACTTGATTGTGATCTCCTAAGAGGGCTTTGTTAAAAAACATATAAATAACCATTTGCTTTTCCACATACCTTGTGTGTACAGCCTCTCTGCACCATGATGCAACAGACTTTCTGACATTACATTTCAGGACCAGCTTTTTAAAACCTCTCTCTGGTCTGTCTATTGAGAGGCATAGACACATTATTATCTGAATTTTTCTCCCTTAATCTTGTAGTCTATTATTTTTTATGTAGGACAGTTGCAAGAAAAGCAGACCAACAGATTTCCTACCTTAGAAAGGGAGCAATGCTCACCAGCTGAGCCATGACTTACATATTAGCAAAGGTACTCTCACAGCTAAGAGTAATGCACCCAATTTGAGCACATGCTTCCAAAGTAGGCATCAGCCCACATGTTATGTATGATGGACCATAGGTCTTGCACATTATATAGGGACTTCTGCAGGGAAGATAGTGAGAAAGTAACCTAAATGCATTCTAAGGTCCTCAGCTTTTTTAGGTATACAAGCTCAGGTGTTAGTGATACATCAAGGATCCCCTGGCTTCAGCACTTGGTGGTGAAGATACACTGAGGGGTTGCTTTAAGCCATGGCTTTCATTGTTGATCACAAGCCAGAGAAGACAGATTGAGCACCCAGTGAAGTTCTCCTCCCTGATGATTTCTTCTGTGAGCAATAGGGCATAGAACTTTCATCAGGAAATTTCAGGTTTGGAGGGTATCTGTGGAGGGTTTAACCTTCTCACACCACTGCAGTGACCTAGCAAGCTGAACTAGCTGCTTCCCAAAGCCAGAATTTGATAGATCGTTGTGCACTGAGGAAGAGGTAAAAGGAGCAATGCTTTTGGTAGCTTTGTAGGGTTTCAAGAAGTATTTGTGGTTCCTCAGCCCAAATGAACCTATTTTGACAACTCTTTTATTGAACACAATGACTGTGTCCATTGCACCCATTGGGTCCTTGGACACCACTGTGCTTGGGAAGGATCTCACTTAGAATGGGTTTACCAGGTACAAGTAAATCACTGCAACGGGTAGAAAACCCCCAAGAAATCTGTAACTCTTGCACTATTTAAATTAAGATTGTCAGAATTGGATCCTAATGTTCCATGTTACTTTATTGCCAAGGATAGGTTTAAAAAGACAAACAGGCAAACAACAAACTTTCTTAGCAATCCATAATAATGGAATATAGATTACAGTAATATTAGGACTTTTGAGTCTTGACATCAAGGAAATGAACACTGAGACAGATAAATAAGTACAGAGAGTTTTATTAGCTGTACAACACTTTTAAATGGCTAAGTAGAAAATCCCAAACCAGCTATATTAAGCCGTTCATTCCTTTACCCACGGAAATGAAGTAATAAAGTTTATTTCAGATATGAAGCTCATATTAGCCAAGCCATTGGGACTTTTGTGAACAAATAGGTATGAGAGTTAAAACGGCCATAAGTCTAAATTCTGCTTCTCAGCATCATGATCTGTTGTACTGGAATGAAATGAAGTGGTCGGAAAACAGAACCAAAACCAAAGCGGACAGCAGCATCCCAATTATTTAGTAGTGGATGCAGAAAGAACAAGATTGCATTTTAGTCAATAACCAGAGGACTACAGCCTTTGTGCAGTTATGCTTTGGTTATAAGAACTCTTTATTTATGTCTTAAAGAGAAAGGAATGTTCTTTGGTCCATGTTTTGCCTGCATTGACCATTCCTACAGTGCCTAGAATATGTAGCCCCAGTTGAAGCTTTTGGCTTTTATTTCTGGTATCTGTTGTTGCCTTCTTAACTCTGCAAATGCCAGTCTGATGAGAATGGCATTGGCAGAACTATAGGTATAAAAGGCTAAACTTGAAGAAAGCGTCACAGATATTCTGAAGATCTTTGAGTTCATCCAGAATCTGAAATGTCCAATTTAATGGCAAGAATATTTCCCTCTATGTCTAGAGTCACAAAATCATCACACACTATCCTTCTGCACAAGGTGTTCTCTGTGTTTTGAAACCATCTTGACACTATCATGTAAAATCCTATAGAGTAAGAAAACCCAAGAGGACCTCTACATGAGGTCTACATGATCTTTCTCTTTTGGTAGAGAGATTGTTGGTTGATGGACAATGATACTGGAGTATGATATTATGTGAGTAACTGGAGTAAGATTACAATAACAGAAATAATAATAGAAAAACACCTGCAAACATCAGACCACACAGAAAACATCAGAACTCACTGGGAAGATGAAAAAGAAATATTCACCAGTGAAGAAGAAAATGCCACTGCAAAAAACAGTAAGGAAGCTGCTTCTACCATCCCAGTCCAAAAGGGCAGTATTTTGGGGCAAGTTTGCAGTGGTTTGGTTCTGATATACCCAGATTGCTTAGATACAATTTAGACTAACTTACTGCTGTAAAAATACTGCTCTTTTGTCCAGAAGAGTAGTCAGTATGTGCAAGCTTACCATGCTCAAGTCCATAAGTTACCAGGCATTTGCATACAAATGCACTTACAGAGATGCTATTTGTCATGCTGGGGCTTTGCGTTTGGCTATAGGAGACTTCTTTGCTACCTGCTGCCATAGGCAGATTCCTCCAAAGCACCTGGAGGGAGGACTCCCTCACTCCCCGATAGAGGTCATTGCATACAGAAGGAAAAGGGTACAGAGTCAAGACTTTTTCTGTGCCTCAGACGTCGCAGCAGCTGCTCTGAGGCTGTTCTATCCTCTGAAGGAACATTCTGTCTCAGCAAGTGAGAAAGGAAAAGAGAGATCCTACACCAGTATAATTACTTGAGCAAAAATAAACACACATATGGTGCGACATTTTCCTAATGCTCAGATCTGATTTGGAAGTAAATGTATTAATTAAAGGGGGGAGTGGAAAGGGGAAAAACAAACAACAATCCCTGAGTCATGAGAACGTGACAAGCTGTCCTTTGAAAATGCTATTTATATTTTTCAGTGACACTGGTGTTAATTTATTAGGTGGTGTAGTGTGTGCTTACTTATTTGTTGCTAAAACGCAGTGATTTTCTCCCTCCCTGCTTTTCTGTTTCATGTTTCAGTTTTGCTTATTTTTATAGACAGTGCTGAGCTAAGAAGAAAGTTCACCCCCAGATAAAGGGCCAAGTCAACATCTTTTTGTCATTGAAGCACTCAAAAGCTGATGTTAAACTTTCCCTCGTCTTCTAAAAGATGTGATTCAGCTTTGGAGGGCAGGGTAGATACTTTAAAATTCTCTTTGATTCTCTTTGATGGTGAAATTCTCTTTTTCTTTAAGCCCCGCTGCCCTTGTGCTTAGGCTTTAAACGAAAACATCTTTGAAAGTTGTCTTTAAGAATCAGAGGTAGAAATGCAGAGGACAGTCTTGAAATGGCTATTCCAACAAATATTCAGTGTCGACACCTCAGCAGTAACTAAGCAGAAACAAATCCTTAAAGACTGAAAAACTATGTCACTTTACATAGAAAAAGTGAAAAAAGAAAGAGATAAAAATGGCATGTGTCTTCCCAACAGGGTATAAACTCAAGAATGGATGTAGTAGGCACTCAGAGAGGTCCCCTGGGGTTTTCTTATTGCTGCCACTGGTTTTCACTTGACTATCTTCCTAGTTCTATGGAATTGGAAAGCCATATGTCAACCCAGGGAAAATACAGAGATTTTACCATCTAGATCCTTGTGTATTTTGCAGCTTCTTATAATTGTTTTCATAATTATAGGTCCACAATATTAAAATGAAAACCTTTTGAAAACCTACAGTAACTGTGGGAGTTTGGTACTTTTCTTTGGTACATCTCTGCTTTCCTCTGTGAAGTTTTTAATCCATGGAAACATTTTAATTCCCCAGAAATGTAAAACAGTTCCATTTTATATTTTCCATTCATTCGTATCTCCATTTCCACCCCCTTCCTCTTTCCTTTGACAAAAGAAAAAGAAGGAAATTAAAAAAATAAAATTAAACCTATAGATGCTGAAGGGAAAAGCAAAATGCTGAAAAGCTTTTTTTGTTCTTTATTTAAACATGAAACCCCATTAGTAAATAATTACTTTCTTGCAGAGAAGTTTCCCTTCAGGAAAGCACAACTTTAAGCTGAAAAAGATTTTAAATGCAAGCTTGAATCAGTTCTTAAAAAAAAAACCAAAAAAGCCACATTTCAATCTAAAAGAATGTTTGTTTTATTTCCATTCTCTTGTAATTTCAGAAAATGTACTAAGTATAAGGCATCGTGGAATAAATCACAATATATTTCAGTCAATTAGTCAATTATATGTTGTAATAAAAACCCTGTAAGTGTTTTGAATCATGACTGTTGTTGTGTTCTTTCAGAAGATCTCTCAAACTTCTTGCCTAATCTATGGAGCTGTTCACTCCCGGCACAGTTTTCAATCTATTCACTGTTGCAGAAGCCATCTGGTTTTCAACTGAGTCTTTCTCATAAGCTCAGTTTCTTTTTTTCTCTTTCTGAGAAGCTTAAGCACATAAAGACTTCTTGAAGTAGAGACTTGGGCTGATTAAAATATGGGAAAAATATTTTTCTCTATGGAAAAAATATTATTCAGAACAAATTTTCAGTTTTCCAGCAGTTTTCCCCACCCCCTTTAAAAAATTTTAAGCAAAAAAACTAGTTTTCATTTAGATTTCCCCCTTTTCCCTGCCTTTTTAAAAATCTTCACTATTGTTTTAATTTTGTTTTCCCCCAGCTGGAATAAATAGAAAAAGATAAAAGAAAGGAGCAATATTTTCAGTGCAAGCTGCCTATCACTTGATTCTCTTCCTAGCTTGGTTTTTGACAGTACATTAACCTCACTGACCTTTGGCCTGACACTGCCAAAAGTACCATCATTTACAATTAAAAAGAACAAGTTTTGTCTAGATGGGATTTGCTGGAAGTATACTGGAGAAGAGAGAAGGAGGTCACTTGATCAGTAAAATGATAAAGATGGTTGTCTCTTGCTATTCAGCTCCATATGATATGAATGGTTATTGCTGTCTGGATGGGATGTCATGGTTACACTGGTGGATCATAACAAGTGGGGAATGTGGATTCACAGTCTTTATTTATTTCCTTCCAATGTAAAATTATTCCATTTCTAAACCTGAAAAATCCTAACTGGCTTCACAGAGGTGGCATGGCTGATCCTTGCTTTCTCATAGTGCTATTGTCAGGAGGCGACCAGTGTGCTTTATGTTAAGTAAATTGAGCTATCTCTATTTGATTAAAGAAGAAAACCAAAACAAGCTGCTGAGATGGAGATTTGTCTTTGAATTTCTTTCCCTGTGTAATTAATGGATGTGAATAGGTTCCATGTTAGGTTGCCATCCTTCTACAGTGGCTGTTCCTTTCAGCTGATCAAATGTGCATTATCTGAGTTGACAGCACAGTCCCAGAAGAAATAGCATAGGAATTATGGGACAGAAGACCTGGAGGAAATACTAATTTCTATCTAGAACATACCACAGTGTTCATCAGTCAGTTGAGAATGTAAAAGCTGCAAATAGGATGGGCTATTTGCCAGTTCTTCTAGTGGCTCCTGTTGTGTATTGTTCCCCTTTGAGATGGCCAAGTGCTCTGTAACAAAATGCCTGTAGGACTTTTTACAGTTGCTTCTCTTTTCCCAGTGTTGAATTATTTATTGCTTTTCTTCTACCTACAGTTCTTCATAGCATATTTTCCCATTTCTATTTAAAAATAGTTAAACCAAACCAAAATAAAATCATCTGAGAGGTTAACTGGGGCTCTGCCTGTTATCTCCAATTTCTATGCCAACTTTCAGTATAAACCAGTGATGATTTAATATATATGAAGCCATCTCTTTGAATTTACAATAGAATTTTTAATATCTGAATGCAGGCTGACAACCGAGGATCAAAAATATGCTTTCAGGAGGCTTTCATCCTCTCCTTAGTATTTCAACATAATTTTACAACTGTTTTTTAACATTAGGTATAAAGACACACAGATGAGTTTAGATTAAATCTAATGACACCCAAAACCGGAAGATTTTGAACAGTCTGACCCCTTGGATGAAATTTATATCAAAACCAAATATAAATCTGGATCTGTATGTAATCAGGGGACTGAATTCTGTTCCAATAAACCTGCTGGCAGCAGAAGAAGAACCAAGGTAAATATGTAAGCAGGGGCTAAGGGTGTGTAAAGGAATAACTGAATTGCACAAAAAATGGTCATCAGGGAAAAGAGAAACTGCTATATTCTTGCCTATAATTGAAACTTCAGTTCATGGTGCTATTGGTGTGGGGTTATTATGTTGAGGTGATCTAGACCAGCCGTTCAATTTGACCTGTTGCCATAGGGTTAAAAGTAATATGTGTAAAATCCCCTACAGGACACTGATAGGTTGGTAGCTAGAAATGTTAACTTAATTGGAACCCATAGCTCTGATATGACAGATAGCATCAGATCAGAGAGGAACGGAGGTGCTTGATCAAAATGCCTACCTTCTATTCACACTGTTCAAGTTGGCATTCTGGCTTTTCACTCCTTTAGGAAATAAGGTTCACAAAGACTTCTCTATTTAAAATCTAAGCTGCTCACCTCAGGAGGCTGATCACACCTTATTGTATGTATTTAGAGTGTGTACCATCTCAAAGCAGTTTTCTTTCTGGATAAAGAAAAGCTCTGTTTAACTGAAAACCGATTAAGCAACAAAAAGAAAACAAATTACAATGCCAGCTATGACAAATGACACATGAGTTCCATAACTATAAAGATGAATAGCTCTCCCTGTAGGCAGGCCCATTATAAACATCATCCTCTAGCTGGTTGCAGTGGACTTTGAAATTTCCCTTTAGACGGTTTAAGATTAATTAAATAAGGCCAAAAAACAATGGTAGCTCTTTGGTATGAGTAATTGACATGACAACCAGAAGTAGACACTGAAAAAGAATTAATCATCTCCAGTTTGGTTCCTTTTCATCAGCAGTTGGCTCTGTTATGAATGAAGTTCATGTGTACCATTGACCTACTCAGTGGTAATGAAGTCTCCTTCATTCAGACTCAGATTTCCAAAATTCAGTGAGAAAGCTTTGTGTTATAATTACAGGAAGACTGATTTGTGAAGTTTTCTGGAGGTGGTGAATCCAGCTTCACTTGAGTACCATCAATCATATGTAGAGAGAGCTTCTGCATGTTCGTTTGGAAAGATAATGAGGCTTTCCAAAACCAGCCTTAATGATACTCAATCCAAGGATCAAATCCAAGACAGAAAGCTTGGATAACCTCAGTGTCTCAGGGAACAAACACTTCAGAAGTCACAACATTGAACACTTGCATTAATAAAGACACTTACATATTTTGTTGTGCTATCTGTAAGACGAAAAGACCTCCATGCTATCCACATATGAAATGACTTTTCCTTAAAATTTTGAGCATGACTTTTCTCCCTGGGAATATTATTCAGTCATATTGGCTAAACAACTTTCTATGGACATGGCTGAGAAAAAACTTGTGTCAAGAGGATTTAGTAATATTCGTGGTAGCAGCCTTGATGAGCAAACTGTCCTGTCCTGTCATTTAATGAAGTGGACATTCAGCAAATGGGAAAAAATTGGCTTCATCAGGAAGCTGTATCTTCGGTCTTAGTATTTGAGCCTTTTATAAGTCCTGACATTTGAATTTTGACTCTCTTCAAGATCCATGTTAACTCGAGACACAGTAATACTAATATCCTTGGTCGTAGTTTAAACTTTGCCGAAAGTCAAAACACTGCACTGCGCCAGCTACCAAGAAGGAGAAAAATGACTGCTACTGCTGAACCCAGGACACCTTGCTAGGCATACAAACATAATATTTAGATATTACAAGCGAAGTGGTCCTTCAGGTGTACTGCAACAGTCGGTTGCATATCTGGATTGCCTAATAGTTTAAGGGAAAGATAATCGATTTATGAAAAGACAAGTAATAGATGTGACTAATAATGATTATAAAGACAAATCTTATTCTGGAATGTGTTCATAAGAAAACCTCATGTCAGGTCTTGGATGTCACCTTAGATGTCACCTTTTACACCTTTCCGGTCCTTCCTGTGAACTCCCCTTCACGCAGCACCAGGGGGAATGCAGCTAGACTGCTCTATCCAGGTTTTTGTCTACCATGTCAGACTGGAACAAGAATTTCAGCTTCAAGGGATTCTTGAAGCGTCAGGATTATTGTAAGATGGGAAGGACTAAGGTTCTACATTCTACAGTAGGCAGGACAACAACCTTCCAACGTGTACAGCTTTAAATACAAAGCAGATGAGGTTTTGCTATGTCCAGTTTACAGCAGGAAGAGAAATATTAAGATTACATTGCAGCAATAAAGTGTGAGGAGAAGTTCAGTGAATATCCTAACAATAGTAGTGATGCAGCACAAACCCAGGCTTCTTGGATGGTCACAGCATAGTCTTCTCTGAGGTTTTTTTTAGTCAGTTTAAACAGACAGCTGTAATAGGTACATTAAAATAAATCCCATTATCCTAGTCAGAACAGAGGATGACTTAGGTGGACACATGGAGATGCATCCAGAGTAAACAATTGTTTTTGAGAGGGATGAGAGGTTGTGGCTGTTGCCAAGGATGTCTAATTGGAAGCGAATCCACTTCCCCATCGCCTGTGTGGTCCTAGTCCTAGGGACTAGGACTGAAAAGACTTCCTGAATTAGCACACATCTTACACTGAAATCCAGGTTGCTTCAGCACCAGAGACAGCTGGTTTGAAGCTGGCCACAGTCGCTTTTCCATGAGTTTCTGCCTTAAGCTGCTGCAGCTTTCTGACTCTTCCCTGCTCTGAGCACCTTGAGAGCTGTCACACTCTTCCCCTATGCTAAGCACAAGCTTTGTTCCCTTTGATACAAATCTCAGCTTTCTTGTTTAGTTACATAAAACCTTACCATAAATGTTCAGAAAACGTGTAACAGCAGTGAGGCAGAGAAGCAACCATCTCTGATGTGGCACTTTTCACAGAATAAGTTGCTTTTTAATTAACCTAAAGGAGTTTTAGCAAGACAAGCCAATTTGTCTGTGCTACCATTAGTCTTATTTCCGCAGGACACTTCTGGTGGCAGATAACAGGTCAGGTTTATTTTAATTAACTTTGGATGACTCAAAAAGACAGACATTTCTATCTCGTCTGTCATCTGTAATCTTAACATCTTTCTGAAGCAGATTGAATAGTAATAACATCATAGGCTCTTTAATTCAACTCATTCTTTGTCCACAGAAGAAAAAAGGGAAAAAGCAGCATTAGGTTTCTTGTAGCCTACAAAGAGTATTTTAGCCCTTTATCATACCTGGCTTAATCTGCTCTCAATTAAACACAAAAATGTTGAAAACATATCTTTTTTATGATGTGCAATTAATTTCAGATTAAACCTGGTTTTATTCTTAACACCTTTGCATTTGGGGAGCATGCACTATGTAATCAGTGCCGGATAGTGAGGCATGTAAAGCTCTGAGCAGTGGAGAATAGATATTAGTAAAAGGGCAAGGAGGTAGGAAGCTAGACAAAAACTCTGTTTTCTACCTGTTTTTTATTTGCTTTGTTATTTCACAGCCAAACGTTATAGCTATAAAATTTCTGAGACTAGGAATCCTTTTCCATTCCTGGCATATGACATTTAGCACAATGGTGTGCTGACCTGTGCACGAAGCTCTCAGGTCTATTGAAATATGATCATTGTTGCCATTAAATCAGACATTTGTCCGGCATAATGTTACCAGAAATACCTGAAACACAGAACTTGTGTAGCAGCAGCATTCGTTATCATTAGGTGAAATACTGCATGCTATGGCTGACAAAACACAGGGTAAAATCATCAGTGTAGCAGAAAGTTTTCTCAGTGGTTTCCAGCCTGAGCCACTCATGTGGTGATGTTCTGAGCCCCCCCCAGGGCTCTTCTTTCCAGCTCCAGCAGATACTGGTTGGCAAATAAATTCACCTGGATCTACACTTACCGGACTGAACTGTGTCTGCAGACTGAAGATTTGAGAGTCTCCCATGTAAGGGTCATCTGCTCAGGAAACAATTTCTAAATCACTAATCAGCTTATTAACAATAGCTTATTGTAGGGTCATGTTGCCTGTGAACTCTTTATGATACTTACTGGGTGTATAGGATTAAGCCAAGATTAGTATTTGCTATACAGTGATTATCTTATTCTTCTCATTAGGTTAACATTCAGCTTTCCTCAACACCCTGTTTGAATCCAGAGGGTTTTTTCCCAGTGTTACCTGCCAGTCTCAACATCTGTCATCACTCACCTTTAAAATTGTACCCTGCCTTTATGGTTGTAAATAGGTTTTGTTCATATGAAACTATAGTTATTTGTTGTATACAGGTTTTAGTTGTAGCTAGGTTTTGTTCATATGAAACTCATTTTTCCCCCTTTATGAAAAAAAAAAAGAAACAAGTTATAAGAACCACTCAAATCCCATTGCCTGAATTATTCATGGGTTGTTTTTCTTCTAATAATTTATCTGCTAGGTCTGTGATTTTCTTCTTGCTGTATCTTTATATTTTTGGTAATACATAAACAGTTGCACAAGTAATATAGAAACAATCAGTTGGCTGAGTGCTTAACTTCAGAAAAAAAACAAACACAAACACTGCAGATATGTCCTTTCCAATAAGCTGAGGCAATTGGAGCTGGGTGCCACTGACACAGAGGTGAGCACAGCACTGTGGTCCTGCTTCTAATTTTCATACCGTATGAACTGTGGGCCATGGTAGGTCTTTCCTGCCTCCAATGTATCTGACCCCTCATCAAGCTTTTCCCAACCAAAATCACAGGAATTAGAGGTCTCTGCTGTCAACCCCAGATGATGACAATAAACACATACATTAGGGCTTCGTGGTTTTGGGACTGAGGCTTTTGAAGTCAAAGGAAAGACTTGATTTCAGCATGCTCTTGAGGGGCTGCCAGAGCTATCTCCTCAAACAGTAACAGATGCTCAAGCCTTTGTTTGCAGGGGCACAAGGTTTAAGTGAAGAAATGGTGAATTCAGGTTCCAGCTTCTATGTAAGTCACTGGGAACTGGTCCTCTAATTTACGGAAAAGATGGCTCAAGTTTTTAAGCATCTAAAAGAGTGACTTCAGAATGTGAGGACTTGACCCTGAACCCACGTCTATTTGGTTCAGAACAGTTCTGAGATCAATAACTAAATTATGTGGGGTTCTTTATTGATTAAAACTCTCATATATGAACATTTCTCCTTTTAATGCTAAGGGATGAAACAAAAAGTACAGAGAATCTAGTCAGCAACAGGCCGGAACTGCAGAAGCTGGGATGTGTCACCTTTCCATCCGAGAGGTAACGGAGACTGTTTCAATTATTTAGTTTGTGAATGCACTGCCCTTGACATTGCAGGCGACGTTTTAATTCACATGAGATACGGTGCAATTACGACCTACTGAAAGAAGTGACAGCACCTTTTATGTCACTCAGTGGAGAACTGCAATCAGATGAAACAATTACTGTGGCTTTATTTTGTTTATGAAGAAGATTATGCTTGTGCCTTCTTTCACATCCGAGGTATCTGCCAGGCAGCTCCTGACAGTACTTCACAGTAATGCTGTGCAGTAACTTGGAGTT